AAAAAACGTATTTTTCTGTATAAGTTGTATATATAATTTCAAAGCTGAATATTTAATATATTTCGGATTAAAGTATGAACTTGTAAAATTGAATATATTCAATTATAATGCAATTTACTAAAAAGAAGTGGCTTACATTTTTTTTAGGGATTTTAGTATGACGAAGCGAACAGCACGGATTATAACTTAATTAAATCCGAAAAAAATTGTTTTTATTATTTAAAAACATTTTTGTATGAATAAGTACAATAATACATCTTTGCATCAATGAAAAAAAAAATCGCTGGCATATATATATTTTAATCTTTAATAACCATTTTAAAATTTAATCAACCAGCAGTTATAGCATTTAAATTAATTTTTTTTAAATAATGCTATAATATAGAAGTAAAAAATATATATTATGTATAAATAAAATCGATATAAAAATTATAAATTTTTTACATATGCATGTTAACGCCGTTTGGGTCTTATCATCATCTGAACGAATCGCAATGAATTTTTGTGCCAAGCAAACCAATTAATGCCATATTGATTTGTTCTTTTGGAACTGAAATATACTCCATTTAAATTACTGTAAACAAGAAGCAAAAAAGAAACTGAAAATAAATATATAATTCAGATATTCAAATATTACTCACCAATAATAACATTTACGAAACCACCAGCCCGATTCAAAATCCTGTGCACAATTATTTTCCGCTTGGTCGTTGTCGCGATCTGGTGTGGAGAATTTCATATATTTTTGCGCTGAGAGCGCATCACCTGCCGACCCATTGTATTGGCCCAGAACATGCAAGCCAAAATCTTCGGATTCGTTGCCTATTTTGAAATTATCGTAGTAGGCATAACGAATTTGATTATCAAAGTCTTGAAGATATATCAAGAGCTCATGGCGTCGTGATGAGGTTATCAAATGTATCTTCTGCAAGCCCATGAAAAATTCACCTCTTAAATCACCAAAACCAATTCTATAATCATTCCAATTGCGAAAGAAGCTGACCGAACCATCGCGACGACGTAATAGCACAGTCCAGCCGGAGCCGACCAGATGCGAGTCACAGAATACAGGGAAGGGCTCAGCTCCGGGCACTATATTCACATGTATATCTGTAGATTTGCCCAGACAGCTCGTCGCATGACAAGTCTTGACTTGTTTATCGTATATAAATAGCTTGTGAATCAATTGTTTTATCTTTAGATCGTCTTTGGTAATTTGGTTTCGCTGTTCGGCGACAATTTTTTCGTTGACTTTCACATTGGCCTCCAGTTCAGCTATGCGACGATCCTTTAATTCCAGTTTAATCAATTCACCCTCTGAGGCGGCATTATGTCGATTGATCAAGGCCTTGTTCGTCTCAATTAGATCATCCTTAATTCGGCTGCTGTTATTACAGGACACGTTCAATTCCCTGAGCTGCGTGAATTGTACTTCTTTATTCCGAACTGTTTCCTCACAGATACCAATACGGTTCTGCAGACTGGTCAATTGTGTCTCCGAATTCTTGAGACTCTCCTGATTCGCTTCGGCTTTCTTTTGCAGCTCATTTAGCTGTGAGGTCTTTCGGTTCATTTGATCTCGCCATAGATGCTCTTTGATGACCGTAGAATTCTCACAAACTCCCAGTTTTATTTTGACCGTATTTACCTGTTGCTCTGTCATCTTGACCATCCTATCCAGCTCCTTGATTTTGTCCTGTAATTCCGTGAAGTGATGTTGCTTTGTTTGCTGCAATATGGGCTTTACAATATTCAAGCAATATGTATTGCATTCTCCTTCCAAATCCTTGAACAAGGTCAGAGACTGAAACGTATGGGAAAATGTATTTGTTTGTTCAGGTATATGAACAAATTTGTTACTCACCGCCTGTGATTTGCCATTCGTATCGAAGGTTCCAAAGCGTTGAATATTAAAGGTGAATAACAATAAAATCGTCCAAAGATTTGCATAGTTTTGCATTATCTTTAGAAGGAATTCTCTTTATATAAATAATTAATTTTTCTTTCTTATATTGAGTAAATTCCTTGTACAGCTCTTTAAGCTCTGGCAAACACAGTTAAACTAATGCATTAGCTAAGTGAAGAAATTCCAATAGCTTTTGCATTGATTTATTGGAAGCCAACGCCATATTGTGTACGATACACAAATAACTGTTACAACAGCTGTCTAAAGCAGCCTATCGACAATAACTTCCAGTTTATTGACAATATCTGTGCCATTGTTAATGTCTGGAAATTGAGCAAGTACACACAGAGAGACAGCTGTGACTTTCATACGATAAGAGTGTATATAAGTATGTTATATATAGAGAAGCTGCTGCGATAATAAAAATATTACGTACAACATTGAATGTATATATAAGAAAAGTTATTATAAAAATGGCAATATGATTGTAATGATGCTGAGACGGTTTTATTGGGTATAAATCGTAATATTGATTGATGACGGTAATGTGAATGAGGAAATGAAATGAAAAATGGGAATGATAATGGCAATGACAATATTAACACTAGTGAAAATGACAATGAAAATGAAAATGGAAATGAAAATGAAAATGAAAAAATGACAATGACAATGAAAATGGCAATAACATTGACAATGACAATGACAATGAAAATGACAATGACAATGACAATGACAATTACAATTACAATTACAATGACAATGAAAATAACAATAACAATAACAATGACAATAACAATACCAATGACAATAACAATGACAATGACAATGACAATGACAATGACAATGACAATGACAATGACAATGACAATGACAATGACAATGACAATGACAATGAAAATGGCAATAACATTGACAATGACAATGACAATGACAATGAAAATGACAATGACAATGACAATGACAATGACAATGACAATGACAATGACAATGACAATGACAATGACAATGACAATGACAATGACAATGACAATGACAAANTTTTCGATAAGGTTTTTTATCGATAAAAAAAGATCGGGATGAGTTATCGATTTTTAATGATAAACTTGATATGCGCGCTGTAATTACGGACATTTTAAAAAAAATTTGAAGTCTCTAGCTCTTATATCTTCTGAAATCGACGCGTTCATACATACGGACGGACGGACGGACGGACGGACGGACGGACGGACGGACGGACAGACAGACGGACAGGGCCAAATCGACTCAGCTCGTCGCCCTGATCAAGAATATATATACTTTGTGGGGTCTGCCACGCCTCCTTCTGCCTGTTACATACTTTTAACAAAACCATTATACCCTGATTTCCCATTTTCAATGGGTTCAGGGTATAATTAACAATAACTGGAATTATAACAGAAACAATTTAATACATATCACTTAAACTATATATGTATACGTTCAATAGTATGTATCGAACGTACATATAGAAAACGCCTGCATTAAAAATAGCCTTCATCTTTCTCTTATTTTCTGAAAATTTGCGATACGCAGCAAATATTTTGCATTTCGAAAACTAAAACTAAACCAAAAAAACGAAATTATAAAATCGCACTCATTTTATTAGCCATTTGAATAATTTATATAGCCATTTAATTGCTAAACCATGCTCGAAAAATGCGTTGACATGTTAAAGGATGCACAACCACAGTCTGTCATTCGAAATATTTTAATATTTTGTGCCTGAGAACCACGCAGCAGTGGCAGCGGCAACAGCAGCCGCACCACCCAAACCCACTTCTAAGCCCAACAGTTTCCACCAATTTGCATTGTTGGCGAGCAGACAAAGGCGAGCTGAGGCCATTTCACACACACTTTAACATTTGCATAAATTTTAATGTACACACACATAGGCATACACACGCACACCCACATGCATACGCAGGCAGACACGTGAGAGCCACAACAAATGCTTGTCGGGTGCATGCACTTGGTGTGTGGGCTGTGGGCTGTGGGCATGGCGTGGGCGTATGTAGCTGTGTGTGTGTGTGTGTGTTAGTGTGGGTGTGGTAGACGACAGGTTTAAATACATTTTGCACTTGGCAATGGGGGAAAACAGCAACAGCTTCCACACCAAATGGCAACAATTTTTGCCCAAATATGCATATGTATGTATGTATGCATGTATACACATACAATATATATATGTATGCATGTACGTAGCTGTGCACAGGTATGCTGGTGGGCTGGTGCTCTGCTGCAGCTAGGCACCCGTAATAACGAGTTTTGCGGTAAATTGAATTGTTGGACATTCCGCACACACTAAAATCGTTTTCGTTCGCTGCTCGCTGCGGTTGAGGTTTTTGGCGTTGGGTCACACGAACCGGAGCCGGAGCCGGAGCCAAAGCCGGAGCGTTGATCCTTAACCGGTTGAGCTGGCCATATGCCCGTCTCGTCTTCCAACTCATTTTTGACGAGGCTGTACGCAAACATTTATTGATATACCTCCATATATGGTGGGTGAGTGAAGGGATTGTGTTGACTGACCGTTAACAACAGGACATGCCCCTTGGCATATGCGTGGACAGGAAAATGCATGCGGCCAGAAATTATGATGGTCATCAATTTCATTTCCGTTAGCTCACGTTATGTGTGCAACAAATATTAAATGCAGCCTGTACTGAGAAAAAACAATTTTGGATATAGCTAGATGAAGAGGAAAACTTTTTGAGATTGCTGAGGGCATAATTCGATTAACTTAATTTTCTCGTAACTATAATAATCGCTCTAAACTACAGCCAGTGTTGGTAAGCCAACTATTTTTACATAAAATAAATTTTTAGTTTTAGTAAGTACGGTATATTTATTAAGCACATTTTGAAATACTTTTAGAGGAAACTAATTTTACAGTTAAAGGGCAGATCAATATATTATTTTATGAAGAGAGCCAAATTTTGAGATTGTGGAAGAAAAATAGGTACCTAAATATAAATAAATGAATATGAAATGACATATCTTATTATTATTACTTTTTAACTTAAAATAAAATTTTGTTAATTTTTTAAGTATTAAATTTATTTATTTTAGAATACCCTGTAATTTTATATAAAGCTATATAGCATACCTCTTGAACAGCATTTAAATATGGAATACCACTTGTTAAGCAATTTTTCCAATTAGAAACACACACATATGCAAATGTGCATAAACAAGAAGCCAGTTAGATATGACAATAGTCAAATCACATGACCATGTGGTACATGGCGTATGCGTAATGTGGCCAATTGGATTTACACACTCACATATGCAAGTTCAGAAAGAGAGATAGATAGATAGAGGTAGAGAGCGAGAGAGAGAGAGAGAGAGAGCAAGTAGTTGAATTGAGGCAAAGATTTTAGCCAATGCCTTGCACCATAATTCAAACGGCTGCAGTTCATGTCCTTGTGACAGCTGCAGCAGCAGCAGTAGCCGCATCCAGCCAAGGACAATTTCCAACTAAATTTTAAAATTTAGAGCACACATGCCACACACGAGGGGGCGGGGTGGAGGCGCTCGGCGAATGGCTGTGTTGCCATGCAACAGCAAGACTCGAACTCGAAGTCAGAAATTTGCTTGTCTTGCCTCAAAATATGCATAAATCTTGAGCTGGAAATTTATATTTACATTTTGCTCGTGCTATTTAACAACATTTGGTCAGCCAAGGCAACTGCTGCCAGACGAGCAGAGGGGAGCAGAGTGGAGCCTTGCTCTCGCTGTTGAATATTTTGAGGTTTTGCTTGCAACTCAGGCCAGGACAGAGTAGCGGAGCCATCACCAAGCCCACATAGCGGGCCGAAAAACTCATGCGCCGTTATGCGGATTTGTGCAGCGGCTTCAGAAAACATTTGCATTTTACCACTGTGCACTTGTTCGATGCAGTGAGTGGGAGAGAGAGGGCGGGAGTGAGGCAGGCGTGGCTGGAAGTTGTTTGTTTTATTACAAGTGCCAAATAATTTAACTACTAAAATATTAAATTTCTGTTTGAATAGTTGTCAGAGAGTGTCCTTGTGGATGCCGCTCCACACACATACACATACATATATGTACGTATATAGATAGAGCCCCTGGCAATGGCTATAAATTGTTGGCTACCTAACATGCTCCCCCTCAACATGCCTGTGTGTGTGTGTGTGTGTGTGTGTGTGTGTGTGTGTGTGTGTGCACACACATATGTGAACTGTGGCAACTCAATGTGTGCTTAGGGAATCAACGGGTCATGTGTTTGAGTTTAATTAAAAAGGGGCATTAGGATAAAAACTTTTATAAACGTGCCCATATTCACTCGTATTCCTAAATGATGTATATGCCAAGTTTATGCTGGAACAATAGCAAGTGGCAGAGTGAGACAGACAGAGGGAGTGAGAAAGAGAAAAAAAGTGTGTGGCTGTGTATGTGTGTGCAGTTTATACAGGTGTATTAGTTACACATGTTGAAGAAGTTGAATGTCGGAGTAAAGCTGCTTTTTAACTACCCTCTTTTATGTTTTAATGGCCAACTAAAGTTGCGAACGTATTTTCAGTTACAAAATGAAAGTTAATGAAACCAGAAATTAGAACTGCGCATTGAAATTAACATAAATAAGAGCAATGCAAATGAGTTAAATAAAATGAATAATAAAATGCAGAAATGTTGAAATTAATATATAATAATTTCATTCTGAAATATGAAATAAAATCTAGAGTGTTGGAGAGCTGAAAAAATGCAAGTGAACTAACTATATTCAAAACTAAATTACGACGTATTAATAATTATTGCTTATATTAATACATTATCATTATATTAATATTATATTGTAAACAAAAAATAGGAAAAATAATTAAAAAATTAAAAAAAA